TGGCTGCGTTCAGCAGACTCAGCAGTTTTGCAATCGTTTTATGATTCTTCGCTCAGATTGGACTATTCCTTTAAAACTAAAAGTATAAACCAATCAGCACGATGAATCATAAAACGGTTGCAAATCTGCTGAGTCTGCTGAACGCAGCCAATGATTTCAAAAACAAATAGAATAGAAATGAGAAGGTAAAATCTCTATCTAGACATCAATATCATTGAAAAATATCGTAAAAATATTTTAAAATATGTAAGAAATGGTTTACATTTTTCTATTCTTCTTTAACTAATAAACAACTAGTAATATTATAAATATCAAACATGATGATATGATAATTACAATAAGGTCAATTTAAAGGGATGATGTATATACCTGTGATTTTACATCACTATTTCTTTGGAGCATATTTATAAAATTCCGTCTAATCTGTGCCGTTGAATCAGTATTTCTTTTAGAAGTTGTATGTATTCTTTTCCTTTTTCCTCCTTTGTCAAAAAGTCTCTTTAGCCGTCTTTTGGCTCGCTTCATTGCAATAACCGTTGAATACAATTTCTTAGCAGTAGGACTCAATAAATGTACACGAGTAACTTCACCAAGAATAGGTCTTTGATTAGACAATGTCTTCTTCATATTTTGGATATCATTTCGTTGTTGCATTATTACTTGTTCATGCTTTTGCAATTGACTGCTATGTTGGGCCAATATTTCTTGAACAGTATTAGTATGTTGTTTACCATGTTCGATGTCTGCATGTTGTGGTATATGTTCGACATTCATACCATCTGTGTGTCGTGGCATATGTTCGACATTCATACCATCTGTGTGTTGTGGTATATATTCGACATTCATACCATCCGTGTGTTGTGGTATATGTTCGACATTCATACCATCCGTGTGTTGTGATATATGTTCGACATTCATACCATCTGCATGTTGCAGTACATTTATAGATGGAATAGCATTTTGTTCTAAAGTTCTTCTTGTTGGAGAATTAGTGTAATCTTCATTACGAAAATGCTGATAGCAAATTCTTAATTTTTTAAGTTCTTTTTCGTCCTCTATTACTTTCATGTTCAATTCCTTAAACCATTGCTTGTGGCGTTCAATATCTTTTGGAAACATATGAGATGGAACGTTTTGTCCCGACAAACATCCCGGGATACAACAGGCTCGCACCATCTTAAGTTCTAATATTACAATATTACTATATCAGTTGTTTATACAAAATTATTATGTAGTTTTTTTTACTGTATACTCACGTGTATTGTTCGTGATCGCTCTATGGAGAGAGAGGGATGAAGAGGGAGATAGAGACACTTAAACAGACTTTTAGAGATATTTAAACTCGAGTCGTCCACGCAAACACACCAAAACATACGTGAACACCTTGTGACACCTTGTAGATAACGCGTCCATATTGATTTTAACAGCCATATTGAATATTAGTTCCATATTTCCGGATGACATAAGGTGAGGGCACCACTAACGGTGGTACCAGCAGTTACGAGGCCCTGCTTCTCTATAGTCTGTCTGTGCATCTCTTTGCACACTTACGCACCCTGTTGGGCACACTACCAATCACGTCGCACGAGCGAGTGAACGCCAATCCGCATCTATCACGTGGTCTGAAGGACCAATAGCAACATCGCACGTTGTACGCATGCGCATTACTAACAGCTACGCCATCTAGAACTAGCGCGCCAAAGACGGGAACCTAACCTTATCCTATTAATCTCCTAAGCCTTGTGTCTACGATGCTAGAAATAGGTCCGAGAGCTCGGATAGAGAAAAAATTAACAAATCGCATTTGAACAATTTGATCACATATTGCGATTGGTCAATTCTTTCTTCATCCGAGATCTCGGACCGATTTCTAGCATCGTGGACACAAGGCTTTAGCCCGGATCCTCATACGAACAACACATCGACATCTAGAATGGACCGCTGATGGCAATGGTGGGGGTAGAAAGACGATTAGAGTGAGAGGCAGGAATAATAAGATCGTTCTTTCTCTGTTTACTGTGTTTCTAACTAGCCTGATTGGTTGTTGGATTAACAACAACCAATCAGGCTTTAGTAAACAGAGAAAGAACGATCTTATTATTCCTGCCTCTCACTCTAATCGTCTTTCTACCCCCACCATTGCCATCAGCGGTCCATTCTAGATGTCGATGGAACAACAGCGCTTTGACACCGAACGCTGATTGGTGAAAAACGGCTAATGGGGGTAAATTTTACCCCCACAACTGACTTTTCACCAATCAGTGCTCTGTGTCAAAGCGCCAGTGTCTGTATGGCTGCTTTCCTTTTAGGAGACACAAACCGACACAGTATAACACACTCAAACACATAGCGTTTTCGGCCCGGCCAGGTTTGCACCAACCTGGATTGGATTAATGGCGTTTTGTGCTCTTCTATTGGTAGAGCGGGTGACGTCAACCAATAGGAAAGATGTGACTGAACTAGTGTACACTTTTGGAACTTAAAGTGAGATAGTATACGTTTGATATTTGTTGAAACTCGAAATGCATATCCTATTGATCTCATGCTGTCTCCACTGGCTAAATACCTCAAGCAAATTTGCAACCTTGTGTCAGAAGCAATTGGTTCTCTAATATTTGTTTGCTTTTCAATTCCAGGGCCTACTATTGAAAGAAAATGCTCGAAGGTGCCAACATCCATTCTCAAATAATTAAAATGCAGCGAAGGATCAGTTGCTCTCAGCATGGTAACTAAATTGTTACTATCACCTTGGCGAAACCGCTGCTCTACTGAATAAATGGGCCTGACCCATACACTTCTTTTGGATTTTCTTTCTGACAAGGCAACGTAAATTGAGTATAATTTTATCAAAGTTAACCTTATTTTCTCCTTTCGATAGTGCATCATTGGAGTTTTCACGAATATTTTTACTAAGTGCTTAATATCTTCAATTATCATTATTATTTTATTATTCATGATAATAAAAAATTACTCACTGTATGATAGCTTAATTGCATCTAATTTGTGCAAGTATACTCAAGATCAAGACATCAAGAACAATGACGCATGACGCATTACGTGCGATTTCGGCGTGCCCTGTTCACACGCTGCGGAAAAATGATAGTAAATTCTTTACAGCTGATCAAAACATTGTTTTGAGATTGTAAATATTAATTGTAAAATATTAAATACCACAACAGTAATAATTGTTTTTACAATTTGAGAAATTATATTTTATTTTAATAAGCAAATTATTAACATAAAGTTAGAAATTCCTAAATTTATTCATCCTGGATACATCTTTGACGCATCATGTGAACATAGCACACAAAACTTGCGTGTTAGAAAAGTGTGGAATAGCGCTGATTGGTTGCTTCAATGGCGCATTCCGTATTCCGCAGCCCTATGACGCACCGTGTGATTTCACCCTAACAGTTTGCCACGCTTAAATGGAACGCGATATGTGCAGTGTGTGTATCGTGTGTACGAACTTTTAATACCTAACCTTAAAAGATTTGAATTTTGACCTTAACGGACATACGAGATCAGATTATTGCAAGGAGTGATGTGTATATTTTCGAGTAAAGGTACATACTTTGCATCAATTGGTGGAGGTATTCCAAAAAAAGATTTAACATCTTACAAGTTACAAACTTTTCAAAATTATTTTTAAACTTTATAGGTATTTATAAATATTGTATATCAAAATTTTTATCAAATAAAATATATTTAAAAAATAAAGTTTATTATTATTTTTGTTGCTTTTTAAATAAAATATATAAAAATAATAATATAATATTTGAGGGAAAATTAACAACAATGCAGTGTTTAGCATTCGTCGACTAAGTACCGAGACACTACCGTGTCTCCAGATGCTGAAAACAGAACAAAATGATGGAAATTGGTTTGCGGGTGCGTTCTAATATCACTTAATTCATCAAAATTACACTTGAACAGACTCGAAACACACTCTGACTTTGCTCCCGAGCAGAGGCGAAGTGTGTCGATTGAGTTTGAACAAAATTGTAAATGGAAAGCGACGTGTGTCGATTTGTGTCAAGTGTGTCGACTGTGTCTCCTAAAAGGAAAGCAGCCTATGAAGATCTGGGCTTAAGCTGGAAACACAATAGACACAGGCAATAGGCACAGGTAACAGGGAATAACGAGCCGTCCAGTGCTCGGAATTAGCATGGTAGAATAAATAAGGTGTACCATTCCCGTGGTTGCGCAGTAGCCACCAATGGGAAATTTGACCCGAAATACAAAACACGAATGAATGAAAGAACACGATTTCGGGTCAAATATCTATTTCCCTACCCCAGATTACCCCCGCCATTCACAGCCAGGATGCGCAATGGTACACCTTGTTTATTCCACCATGGGAATTAAGGCTGCGGTCC